CAGACAAGGCAAACGTTATTGAGGAAGAAACATTGTTCCATTTCTCCTTTTAGTTGTATACTTTTTCTATTCTCACCTCACAAAATTTATATTTGTTAAATATTTTGAGAATAAAAAAAAAAAAAAAAAACGAAAAATTAACAGAGGAAGTGACAGTTCCATATTAAAGAATTATATAATGGAACCAGAAAACGCAAAAAATTAATAAGGGGTATGGAAGGTTTTAGTTATAAAGAAAGGCAAAACAATCTTGAACTTGTTTACTTTACATAAAATGTCATCTGAAGGGATATGATAATATTATACACACATATACAGGGCCAGTACAAACTAGCTTTCTTGTAATTTGTTCCTTAATAGGACTGTCCAATGGATGTCACCCATTTAGATTTAAGGGAAGAGGATTTTATGTACAGCAGAGAAAACGGTCTTTAAAGTATTAAGAATAAAGATGGACAACTGTCTGCCTAAAGACGCTTTACCCAATTTTGTTTTAAATATTTTTATTGTCATCTCAAGATAAAGCGGATATCAAACATATAATTGTTGAAGCAAATAATCGCCTACACAGAGGCGTGCTTATTGAGACTGTAAATAACTTGAGGGCTAACATCAGACAGATTGATCAAAGTAACATATGGTTGCCTGCAGGCATAACAGTCGGAGTGATCACGCAATGACCGAAATCAAGTTTGCATGGGCTTCACAAAGTTAGATATGTCAAAGGCGTTGATTGGGCCTGATAGTGCCGTGCACTGGTGTTATTGTCGCTTGTGTCCAGCTATGCCTGACAAAATGTATGATTCAGGTTAATTACAATTAAAAGTGCTGTGTATGCATGGGCTGGATTGTCAATGTATATACGTGAAGTCGATGCGAATATTACACACAAGCGCGCATGTGTATCATGAGACAAGCTACATATTCTCAGGAAAAAATAAGGTTTAGTTCAGCCTGTTTAGGCCGATGTGGCCATGTGCCTATGTCTTATTTTATGTTCAAGTAGGTATTCCTAGTGTGCCTAGCGTGCAGTGTGAGTGTGACCTTAAGTGATCTGGGCGTAATTAAGAGTCCTCGTATCAGCTGTTGTAGGCGTTGCGTCCAGTCGGGTACCCATGCAAAAAAGTTTAGCGTGATATGTATCCTGTCTGTATCTATTGAATAGGCAACTATCTACGACAGTAAACTTTAGCCCTTTTAAGCACTGTGACATTAACCTCACATACAGTTTTAAACAGAATTAAAAATAGAAATATGCAAAAACAAACCAATAATGCATAACTTGTTTAGAATCTACTGGTGAAAGAATATAGAAGCAAACAAATGCTAATACTAAGCACTGTCCATGTTCAGCATGAAGGGCTTCGTTAGGCTCAAATAACCGCCTAAACGTATGGTGCGGTAAACATATATGGCAGAAATAGTATATTAGTCAGTCATCGTGAGGCAAAGATGACTGACTCACGAGTCTAGTTAATTGTGAAATAGGCATGTCATGAATCAAGTGTATTGCTATTAGAAATAATTATTTCAGCAACATGGTATATCCTGATCTGCATCTGTGAAACAATATTGTGTGAGTCTCTCCGCTAGAGATGGCGTTGTAATGCCTGGTGAGAAGAAATGTCCAGCGTGGGGTTAATGACCTTCTGTGAGGTATCTGAGCGGGCTTCCCTCTACGTGGCCTCTTGCAGGCTTATGCCAAGGGTGCATCTTTATGCCAAGCCAGTTGTGTATTGCAGGGTCTCTCCAGCTCCACCGGTGCAACCAATCCCCTCTGTTCCCCTCCGGGCCTGCTCGGCATAGGGTTCTACAGTGGGCACTCAGGGACATCAGTAGTGTGGCAGACTCCCCCGAAAAGTCCTCGGTCCCTCGTCCCCTGCACCTCCCCAACCCCTGCAGTTCCCCCTTGGAGCTCCAGCCCTGGTAGGCCTCACCTTTTTCTGGCCTCTTGCATGTCGCCGGGGTTTGTCCCCCCAGCCCCGGTCTGCCAGGGGTCCAGTCCACCCCGACATCATAGGGCTCACAGAGTTGGGGGTAGGCCTCCCTGGACCACCACCAAATCCAGGGGCTAGGGCCAGCTCCACGCCGACCATTCTGCCGCTCAGAGGGCTCCGTCTGTGGGATCCGTCACCTCAGTGGGCCCTGGCAACTCCGCGTGGCTCCCTGTGACTTGCGTGTTCCGCGGCCATCTCAGCTCTACGTGGGAAAGGGCTCCGCCATGTGTAGGCCTTCTGCCTCCAGTCCCCGGAGAGCGACTTATGGGCCGGGATTACCCCCGCCGGCCCAAGGGGGGGAGCGGGGCCGGGTCCGGACTCCCCTCTCTCCCTCTGCTATCTGGTCTCGCGGCTCCTGCCGTCGCCATGTGTGTGTAGGCCTCATGGGATCATTATGCTCCGGTTGTGCGAGCTGCTCGGTGTCGGCTTGGCAGGTGTCCCTGCATTTTTCTCCTGTGTCGCTCCCTGCTTGATGTTTGTGTCTGCCCCGGCTCTTGGTGAGTTTTTAGTTCAGTATTTTGGTGTATTTAGGCGGCCCAGAGCCAGAGCTAGCATGGATGGCTGCTGCTCGGCTCAGCGGCCTGGCCCCGCCCACTTTACCCAATTTTGTACAGAGTTATAAACATCATTTAAAAAAAAAATTATTAAATCATAATATCCAGTTAGTATTTGAGGAGTCTGCTTATTGATCCGAGGAGAAAATCTGACAGCCATTTTGGAAGGCGTTATTTCCAGTTCTGTGGCAAAATTGAAAAAGGCTTCACACAGTGTTTTTTACGCTTTTTAGATCAACAGCAATAATGTGTAAAATGGCAAACTTGACAGAGTTGAGTCTTATTTCCATCTATAAATTACTATTTAATAATCAGACTTAGATGGTAAATTTAAACCGGGTTGCCATTTTGGCAGAACATTTTAATCTTCAAGTGGCACAATCTTTACAGCTACTTTCCAGCTGTTTGTGGGTTTATGTAATTTTGCAACAACTCCAGAGCATATTATTGCCTACACATGGTCTATGAATGAATGAATGGATACATTTACAAGGTTTCTCTACTGACAAGTTCCATGGTAACATATGCTGGGAAGACTTACTGTAAACACACTGACATTGTTTTTGGTTATCAACTTGAGAGCTCATTCAGCTAATATTAGCACTATCGTACAATGATCTGTTAACGCTGTTAAATGTCTTGGGCAATGAACATGCTGTTTATTTACCCTGCGGTGTAATTTACAGCTGACATTTGTTTCTCATACATAAGAGCTCTCCTAGGGGATAAAGGGCAGAAACCTTAATGAGAAACTGCTTATTGTTTACCGCAATTATTCACAATATTTTACTGGATAGGTATAAAGATTTGGGCTGCACCCAAAAACCCATCCGCTGTATGGCAGCTCATTTAAAAACATGTGCACCGAACGGAACAAAATGAAATAGGTTTATATTGTGCAGCCAAGAATGCCATAGATGTAATGTGTTTAATGAAAAAGAGTTGATATATGACCTATTCACAGCTGAATGATTTTTCCTAAAAATTATTAAATGTGATACTTATTTTAAACATGGGAAAATAGCCATCACATAAACCTAGGACAAAAATCAAGGTTTTATAAATAAAAAATTGCATACTTCTAAAAAAATATATATTTCTTATGTCCCGACAATCTATTTACCATACACTTCAGAAATTGAGAGGGGCAGAATTAAACAAAATAAACTATTCCAAAAATGCAATCACAGTGTAACAATGATTTCTGTATGCAGACACAACAATTGTGTTGCTAAATCCAGAAATCTGTAAAATATTTCATGTTGAAACCTCCCAGCAAGCCAAACTCTATGCACAAAGTCCTACCTCGTACTCTTCTCACTGGCTTCTCAAATGCAACACTATAGCTGTCATGGTTTTGATCAGGTCAGACAAGACACTTATACCGGGGTTGAATTTATGTTCTTTATTGGAATTCTTTGTATTATTTCTATTTCCCTTTAAGTCTTCCTTCATTTATTTTTTCAAGTCAAAAACATGTCAGACAAAGCAGAAAGGAGAACCTATAAACGGGATTACAGGTAAGTATAATGGAAGATAACAGAAATGGTGGTTTAGAGCCCCAGACAGGTTATTTTATAAATGAGATTATAGACAGAAGGTAGATGGAGAACCTATAAAGGGAATTATAGGTTCGGAAGGAAGGAGAACCTATAAGCTGTATTATAGGTTAGGAGGAAGAAGGAGAAACTATAAACAGAATTATAGGTAAAAGGAAAGGACAGAAATAAGAGTTAAAGGACCACTATAGTGCCAGGAAAACATACTCGTTTTCCTAGCACAATAGTGCCCTGAGGGTGCCCCCACCCTCCCGCCGGGCTCTGGGGAGAGGAAAGGGTTAAATCTTACCTTTTTTTTCCAGCGCCTGACGGGGAGCTCTCCTCCTCCTCTCCGATCCTCCTCTTTGGCTGAATGCGGATGCGCGGCAGGAGCTGCGCGCGCATTCAGCTGCGCGCGCATTCAGCCAGTCTCATAGGAATTAGCGTCTTCTCACTCTGATTTTCACAATGAGAAGCACACAAACGCCTCTAACGGTTGTCAATGAGACAGCCACTAGAGGCTTTAGAGGCTGGATTAACCCATTTATAAACATAGCAGTTTCTCTGAAACTGCTATGTTTATAAAAAAAAAGGGTTAATCCTAGATGGACCTGGCACCCAGACCACTTCATTAAGCTGAAGTGGTCTGGGTGCCTAGAGTGGGCCTTTAAGCAATTTGCCCCAAGCAAGTTATCAGGTAATTGGTAAATCATGAGAGGGAAAACCTATGAGAGAAATGATAGGTTACTGGCAAACATAATATAATAAAGACAGAAATATACAACATATGAAGGTTTAACGAATTCAGGTAGTTAGACTTTTAGTGAATCAGTATATTTTGGTTGGAGGCTGTAATGCAATAGATAGTTGCAGCAGGGTTAATCAGGATAGATGTAAATAATAAGGAAAATATTGTATTCAGGTTGCTGGTGTTGAATCCGGTAGTTGTAAGGTAGGTTTGCAACAAAGTAGAAAGGTAATAAAGTCCAACATTAAATAAAACAGGTTGGTATTGATGATTCCGGTTGCTGTAAAGTAAGGTTGAAATAAAGTAAAAAGGTAATAAAGTCCAGTATGAAATAAAGCAGGATGTTAGTGATGACGAGGTTTAGTTACCAAGCTTCTTGGGAAAGAGCAGACTGGAAACAATGTAGGTTGGTTAGATAATTCAGGATGGTTCAAAGATATTCAAAGTTGAACAGGTTTTCTCAGGATGAGCCAGGACCAGAAGGTATGTCAGGTTCAGAACAACAACTTCTATCATTGCGAAGGCAACTTGTGCAGCAGGGTGTGGCCTCTTATGGCAGATTTTGGATGATCATGCTATGCAGGTAAGAAAAAAAATCTTTGATAGACTAGTGGCTACGGAGGCCCCTAGTGGTGAAAAACGGGTATATATTGAAATAAAACAGACGTAAATAAACAATATTTTGGTTGTAAGGTTAGAATCCTGACAATCTAATTTGAGCCTTTCGGGCTAATGTATAGTTACAGGCGGGGGGAGGGGGGAAGGGGCAATGAAATGTTTGCCTGCATTATGCAATGGACTCACTAGAGACACAGTGGAGAAATTTCAACAGTGGAATGCTGGGCGACAAGGCAAGGCAAGTGGTGGTTACTATAATACACTTAGCCAGTGTATACAGGTGGTAAGCATACCACATCGGGAGGACACCAGCAGATGGATACAAGTGGGATGCAGCTTGGACAAAGGGGTGGGCTTTCAGAAAATCTTCATTCCAGATTGACTGCCAATAACTCTGGTCATTTCCAGTCACGGAAGCACATGCATAGATTGCTATTAAAGCACCCATATACAAGGGCTGGCTACACTCAGTGAAGTATACGCAAAGTGAGGGCTTGTAATGATTTGTTCACACTGTGCTTTACAGAAACCAAACTGGGATGGTGGAACAGGACCTAGAATTTAGGACAGGTTTGATGTTAAGGGTTAGAAAGCTAGGGGTTAAAATATGTTCTGTAAAATTCATCAAATGTATATAGAATGTAAATTATTTGACAATATGCACTCATATTGGGATGAGTTAATTTTAGTGAATACCTGTGGTGTAATTCTTAGGTGTTCCTCAGAGGTGATTTTACCTCTCATGTTCTTGAGGTAAATTCACAACAAAGTGGCTTCTGTAATTTTCTTCTGAGCTTTGCACCAAGAAGGCAGTAGGTGAAAACCAGAATGGATTTTTTTTCCTGAGAGCTGGGCAGTGGAAGCTTTGACATTGTGTGGGAAACTCATCCAGAATAGGGCAGCCTGTCCATGGCATCTGGAGTTATCATTTATCCCTGTTAGGCCTGAGGGCAAATTCATTATCAGTAGGATCTCGTCAACCCTTGGGGAGTTAGTTCAAGTTAGTACCTTTAAATTGGGTAATAGTAACATCCCCAGGACATACTTGGAGACTAGAGTAATCTGAATGTACCCTTCCTGGTTAAACACTTTATTATCTATCACAGTAAACGAGGAGAGTATATTAAACAAAGGAAAACTACTACAACAAATGGAAAGTCTTAATTTAAAGGGGCAAAGATTTTAAAATTTCAGGAAGTATTGCTTTACTGAGAGAGTAGTGGATGCATGCAATAGCCTTCCAGCTGAAGTGGTAGAAGTTAACACAGTGAGGGAGTTTAAGCATGCATGGGATAGGCATAAGGCTACCATATATATAAGAAACTAATGCAAGTATTGAGAAAATTGGGCAGATGAGATGGGCCGAATGGCTCTTATCTGTCGTCACATTCTATGTTTCTATGTGCTTGGCCAGAACAGGGGACTTGGAACTAATAGCAATAAATAGCCAAAGAAATTGAGCACTTCCACATGGAGCAGACCACCACCATCGTTCAAGGTTACCACAGCAACACTATGTATGCCAGAGCTGGTAAGATAAATGTACACTGCGTGCACCCAGAAAAAGTGCAGAGCAGAAACACTGAAACACCAGGGAAAGTTATCCAAAGGCTGGGACTACCAACAATGTGTGTGTGTAACATATAACGTGTAATAGTGTGTGAATCTGTGAGTATTTGTAACACTTTGTGTATATCTGAGTATTTATATGTGTTATCTTGCAATAGCAAACAATGCTCAGCCACTAGCTCATGAACAAAGTGGCCACAGTATATTCTTTAAGTAAAATAAAGGAGAAACACTCGTATGTCTAAACTGAAGAGACCCACAATTTGCATTTTGAATCATTTTATACAATGTTAATATTATCTTTATTATTCGGATTACATTTCATGTAAAATTGTTCGAGTTGCATGGCAAATGAAATCATGGAAAATATGTGCACTCCGTATTTCTGTTGCAGTTTGTGAAATTCTAGCACAAGCCTCTGTTCCCAATGTACAAAGACTTGCTTGACAGACAAATTCTTTTATTGTGAAGTAATTGTAATCCGCAAGCAGTTTGGAATGTTTGTTATAATACGTCCATAAATCACATATGCCACCTAGTGGCAGAATATTATTCTTGTTTTATGAAAAACATTTGTTTGTATGAAGAGAAAATGTAAAGTTTTACTCCAAGCATCATAACCACTACAGCCCACTGGCCCCATTTCCTGGTGGAAGAGTTTGTCCTCTTACCTGGCCACTCTCAGCCAATTAAGCGAACTGGGACCCGTTGTGGCAGCATTCTCATGTGGTAAAGGGAATGCCGCCTATCACTCACCTCCTTCAGTGATGCCCTCCGGCCTCTCTGTCAGACACTCCTCCCCTTACACAGCGTCCAGGTCTGTATACATTAGAGATGCCAGGCGATGCAAGTTAGAACCTTTTGGGGTTCATGTTTAACCCTTCCATTGCCTAACCATTTGAAACGTGTGTGGCGTTACACGCGCATGTTTACGGTCGCATGTTTCCCTGAGCACCTTGGGCAATTTGGACCTTTTTTGTCCATTTCTCTGTGCCCTGTCGTGGTTTCCATTCTGGTTATCCGAGAGCACATTTTTGGTACTGTTTCTTGACAATTTTGACCTCTGGCCAGTGGCGTACATATCGGGGTCACAGCGGTCGCGGCTGCGACCGGGCCCAGCTAACCAGGGGGTCCGGCCGCCCTGCGACCCGGTATGTACGCCAGTGTGGCTGGCACGCGAGGGAGCACTCTGGGTATGTGAATGACGAAAACAATTGATTTTCCCACCACCTGCATGGATTTCAGGAGAGTACAAATTAGCGTACCATAAGAGACAACATGCTATATTCACAAAACCTTAGGATTTCAGGAGGGTGCGAACGAATGTACTATCTTCAGTATAAGGGGTTCGTTACAGATGTCCATTTAAATAAACACCTGCAATAGCAAGAAAAGGACTTGCAATTTTAAAAATAACACTCATATATGAAAGTGTTTCATTACTACAAGTGGTTTGTCTGCCACTTAACTTTTTCTTATATTGACTCAGTAGGTCTGAGCACCTGTATGCTCCGGAAGAGGTTTTGATGTCTCTCACTGCTGGTTTTTATTATATTGTCATAATACTGTTTATATGTTTTATTAATCATTTATCAATCCTGGCAATTGTCAGGGCTTGTTATACTACTTGGGTGATTTGGATTGGAACTCAACTGCAGCTTGTAAAACTCCCTAATTACAATTGTGAAGAAACGGAGAATCTTTAAAGTATCAATACTGTAGCTTTAAGAAAAGAGAATAGCTGGTAACTTGATTCAAACGAAGTTTTAATAAGTGTTAAACTTAAATGAATTGCATTTAGGCAATAATCCAATAAGAAGTGCAAGTAATCAACAACACAAAGTTCATTAATAAGTATTTCCTCAGAGATGCATTAAGTAACAATCTTTAGTTCATGAGAATCTTCAATAGAAACAATAGGCAAGTAGCTAAGAATATTTGCAGAGCAAGGACAGTTCATAGTGAATAAGCATGATGGGAGTTGTCCTCCATATAATTAATAGCTTGTAGCAATGAAGATTTAAGTAAGTAAGCATTAGTTCATTAATAAATGATAATGTAGACAAATAGCTGAAAGATATACTTAAGGTTAATCTGAGTAGTCCTCCAATAGTTCAGAGATATGATCCACTTGTAAAGTAGCAAAGTATCCGTTCTCCAGTAATCCTTTATGGCATGCAGCAATCCTTGCATTGGCTCAAAGGCTGGAACGGCTTGTCTGAGCTTGTGGAGAGGTAAGTCTGGTGGAAGTAGCTCCCAGTAGCTGAGCCTGTGGCGCCCGCGGTCTCGCGGAGGCAGCTCACACACAATCACCAAGCACCCTCTCTCTGGCCCAGTCTCCCTAAATACCGTCAGAGCTGTATCAGAGGGGGGCGGGGTCCGGCTCCTCACAGCTGAGTGCCGAACCCGGAAGTGTTACTCCATGACAGGGCTTGACAAATAAAATAATGTAAATGTACACGTTTCATTTGTTTATAGAAATATTGGGAAGATGATTTTAGATTGTATTCTGTAACTCCAATCCCAATTGTTCTGCTTTCAAGAGACATTTCTGATTTTGGGGCGCTGTCCATCTGTAACAATTTACTTCCCTGGTGTCCCACATCACCATATAATTAGATGCACTCACACTGTGCAGGTGGGTACTAGGATTATGCTAGGATGATGCAAAGAGTGCTTCAGTAGTAGTCTCTGCAAAGTTCTGTTCGTTGGCGATGCCAGATTGACAAGTCCCCCCAGTGGGGATGCAAGCCATTCTTGATGTCACTGGCAATGCAACCTTTTCTCTTAAAAGGCAGTGCTTACATTGCCGAGATTACAGGGACTGCGTTTTGTCCCAGAGCCACAACATTAAGCTGATAAGATCAAGGTGCATATCATCTTTCCTGTCAGATAATTGTTAATGCTTGCATAGCCAGGCTCCCCCAACTGTCCCACTTTGGGCAGAACTTCCCAAATTTTAGGGTCTTGACCCATATAGCACCTACATCCCTGGAGAACAGTGAACGGTCCCCTGGCAGCAAAGTGCAAGCACATTGTTTGATGTGCTCGAACTGTGGAGCAGGTACTAGAACAGTGCAAAGAGTGCTTTTTTGGTGGCCAGCTTATTTGTTGTATGGAGCAGGCTTGCCAGAGAGGCTGTCGGTCAGCCTGGCATGTTTAACACCAGACTGAGGCATCCCTTCAGTGATCGGACCCATCTATTATTGGTGTTGGTGGTGACCGCATCATTAGCAACACCCCCTAATTCAGTGGCAGAACTACCGCCGGTGCAGTTGCACTGAGGCCCGCATGCTTTGGG